ATTCTGGCTCATAGTGACCATACAGGAGACAATAAAAATTCCTGTAGCGTTTCCAAGGCTATAAAACTTTACAGAAGCAAAATGCCTCCTCTTTCTTCCCTAACTCAAAACTCTACTCATTGCCATAGAGTTAGAGGCTGTAAATCACACAGGAAGAGATTGCCCATATTTCTCTCTCAGAGCAGCTAGTGCATTTGAACTGCTGGAGAGCGCCTCCCTTTAGGTTAGCTATGCTCAGCAACAGCTGAGTCTGACCCCCATTAATTTCACAAAGTGGAAGAGATCGCCATCTATGATGCCCATAGTACAAAACCAGTTACCATGAGGTCAGATATAATCTCACACTCTCCATAGCTCTTTCTATAAATTCTAACATCAAACATCCCCCACCACCACCACCACCAACAACAACAAGGTTCTTATTGCTTTACTACTAGATCTGGTAATCTGTTGTAATGGCCACACAGAATTTCTAGGTCATACTCATAATTATGGAGTTTAGTACAGAATTGATGTCCTACAAGTGAGGATCTGTGCTGCCAATCAGATTCATTAAATAGGTATTTGTAAACCATTTTTGTGTGGGAGTTGACACAGGTGTATGTGCTATAAATAAAATACACAAAATATACCTTTGCTCTTAAGCAGTTTATAAATTAAAAGTGGAAAACCATTGATTTTATTCGTTTCTGAAGCAGTAAGAGTTACCACAGAAAAGCTGTTGTTCACCTCACAGCTACCCTGTGGGACATAGTAGAATTTCCTCTGAGCGTTATCTCAGCTCTGACCTTTACAGGAGCAGGTCAACATGTCTTTCTTTCATGAAGTTACTGGGTGGGTTTAAAATGCCAGCTTTTTAGTGAGCTGCTGGTTAGCTTCATTTAGCTACATTATGCTACGAGGGCCTCTTATCGAGTGACTTAAGAGTGAATAGCTTGAGGAAGAAGAGAGTGGGACGTGTTCTGTGGAGTCAGAAAAGACATCCCTGAGGAAGTGATGGTTCAGCTGGGCTTACAGGATGGGTAGGAGCAAGGATGAGGAACGTGCTGGGAAGAGAAGATGCCACCTGCAGAAGTCCTGAGGTGGAGCATAGCATGGTGTGTGGAGGAGTCCATGGACTTCAATTAATGGGCTTAGATTCTAACTGCAAAGTAAGACGTCTGAGTCCACCCAAGGTGCTTGTAGAGCACTGTTGTATTATTACACCCATGGTATTGTCACGAATTTGGATTAACTCCATAGCAGCTGGTACCTAAAGAATGAAGTGATGTTGACAGGTCTTTGAAATCAGAGTAAACACCCTGTGGAGGTCTTCCTGAGTCTTTGTAGCTGTGGTTTTCCCCGTCTGCAGACAGAGACCTTCTCAAGGACCTGGGCTTGTAAATCAAAGTCTACTCCCAGAGGGCATAGTTTTGCAGCCACAGGATCCTCGAGGGGGTTGAGAACCGCAGCCACGAGGCCGCCTCAGCCTTGTGGCCGTGTAGCCCAGTGCAGGTGTTCATCCACCACAGTGAGGACCAGGCTTTGTGCTGGATGAATACTTGACAGTAACCTTGACTTGGAAAAGGGCCATTAAAACAGAAAGAAAAGAGAGGCCGAGCAGTTGAGTAGCCAAGAAATCAATGTGTTTTGGTCACCACAGCTCACCTGGGAGCATGACTTTGTAGAGCCGCGGCAGCGCCAGAACGTGCCTCTCTTGAACTCAGCATGTCCAGGAATTAGCTCCAGTCAGAACCCAGCCTTGCTGCCTATTGGCCCCTGATGTGTTTCTTTTGTGAAACACAATGAACTGATTGGGAAAATAACCTTGGAAAAAAACAAAACTTGATTGATTTTTCAAAGAAAACAAAAGCTTCTATGAAAATTTATCTTCAGTCTATTAAAGGCATCCTCCTCGGAAGCTTGGAAGAGGAACTTAGTTAGCTAGACAGCAATTTCATTTTTTCACAAAGCCTTTAATTTGTTTTCCAACAGTCTTGCTCCCTTTCCCCAGCTATTCTTGTCAGGTTGCTTTATTAGATGAAAAAGTGTATGACCAAGTAGTATAACTCACTGTGATTTTTCTTTCACTGATGCTGAATGGAACACTTTTCTATTCCACCTTCCACATATATCCATACATACACATATACACAAACATACACATCAGAGTAATGCTGTTTTTATTAGGTACCATCAAGTGAAAACCAACTGACTTATAGCTAACCCTCCAGTATTTTTTTGAGGGGGCAGTAAATCTCAAGAGGAGAGAGTGCCCATCTATCTCCCATGTTGCAGTTGGTGGATTTGAACTTCCTGCCCTGGGGTTGGCAGCACCACTCTTTACCCAGTAGGCTATCAGAGTGCTATTAAAGTGATAAGGTGTCTTATCCAAGGTGAATGTTAAAAGAATAAATAGAATTTCTTCTAGATATTGTGGTTCACATGAAATTTAAAAATTGCCAAAAATGAAATACGTGACTCTGTGGTGCATTATGTGATCTCTGAGCCTTCATTTTCTCATCTGTGGAATGGAAATAATCTTTTACTAACTCATAAAGCTGTTGTAGAAAGGACATGAGATAATATATGGCAGAGTGCTTTATAAATTGTCACATCCTCCACATTTTAGGTACTGTTATCATTGGGATTGTCATCACTCTGAACAAGAAAAATTATTCACACTTAGATATAAAGACTCTATATCTGCCAGGCAAATATTTGGTACACATGCTCCTTTTTCTTCTGTCCTCTTTCCGTATTCATGGACACGCACAAGAATAGCATCTCAGAGGCACTGGAAGGTGCTTGCAACCCCCTCCCAATTTCCTGGAAGGGAAAACAAACAAATTAAACACACACAATCTCTTGTGATTTTAAAAAACACATTTTAAATGCCAAATGTACTTATGACTAGCTATCTAAATGAAGCACATATCACAGTTTTCTTTTCAGTGACAATGTTGTTGTTGTTGGTATGTGCCGTCGAGTGGCTTGCGACTCATAGCGACCCTATGTACAACAGCCCTTAACCCTGCTCTATCCTGTGACAATCGCACTGTCTCTGACACACCCATCCCGATTACCCCAGTCACTGATTCAATCCACCTCATAGAGGGCCTTCCCCTCCTGCACTGTCCCTCTACCTTACCAAGCATGATGTCCCTCTCCAAGGACCGGTCTCTCCTTACAACATGTCCAAAGTATGTTAGACAGAGCCTCAGAATCCTTGCCTCCAAGGAGCCGCCTGGTTTGACCCTTTCCAGGATGAATCTGTTTGTTTTCCTAGCATTCCATGGTACATTCAACACTCTTCTCCAGCACCACAGCTCAAAGGCATCAATTCTCCTTCTATCCTCCTTAGTTATTGTCCAACTCTCTGATGCATAACAAGTGATTGCAAAGACCATGGCCTGTATCAGACGCACCTTAGTCTCCAGAGAGACACCATTGCTCTTCAGTACTTTGGAGAGGTCCCTAACAGCAGATTTTCTCATCACAATACATCTTTTAATTTCTTGACTACTGATGCCAAGAGTGTTGACTGTGGAGCCAAGCAAACTAAAGCTATAAACAATCTCAATCTCTTCACCATCCATCGTGATGCTGCCAATTGGCCCAGTGGTGAGAATCTTTGTCTTCTTGACATTGAGCCTCAATCCATATTGGAGGCTGCAGTCCTTGACCCTCTGCAGCAAGCGCTTCAGGTCCTCCTCAGTTTCAGCAAGCAGGGTTGTATCATCTGCATAATGCAGATTGTTGATAGATTTTCCACTAATCTTGACCCCACATTCCTTCTCATAGAGCCCAGCCTCCTGAATAATCTGTTCTGCATACACGTTGAAAAGGTATGGAGATAGGATGCAACCCTGGCATATGCCCTTCCCAATTTTGAATCATGCAGTGTTTCCTTGCTCTGTTCTGACGACTGCCTCTTGGTCCAAGTATAGGTTTCTCATTAGCACGATCAAGTGTTCTGGGATTCCCATTCTTCTCTGAGTCAGCCACAGTTTGTTATGATCCACATAGTCAAATGCCTTTGCATAGTCAATGAAACCCAAATATACATTCCTCTGGTATTCCCTGCTTTCAGCCAAGATCCATCTAACATCAGCTACAATATCCCTAGTACCACAATTTCATCTCAACCCAGCTTGGACTTCTGCCAGTTCTCTGCTGATGCATTATTCCAGTCGTTTTTGGATAATGTGACAATATAGAAATCACAAATTTTAAAGGAAGATGGGAAAGCAGGGCATTGGAAGAGTTTCTGTTGTGATAGGTGGTATGGAAGGATAAAGGAAAATACCCACGTGTTAACAGGCAGTAGTGATGGTATTGTTTGTATTCACTTAGTCTCTGTATGTTGGCATGTTTTAAAAGTCTGTCATATTTCCTTTCCTCTGTACTCCACCTTATAATCAGCCTGGACTCCTTCCTCTCCCTTAGACAGTGATTCCCATTACTCAGTCTAGTCTGGAGATTATTTTTCTGCTTGTGCCATTAGCTATGGGAACCTGTACATGTGATATCGTGGGCAAATAGGACTGAATGTACCACAGGCATCCAAAGGAACAAGCAGATCCGTCTTGGAAGAAGTGCAGCCCGAGTGCCCCTTTTGAGATGAGGGTGTTGGGATTGCCTCTCACACTTTGGATATGTCATCCAGCAGTGATAGTCCATAAAGAAAGATACGCTGCATAAAGTAAAAAATCAGCAGAAGAGAGGAAAATTGTCAATGAGAATTGTGAAAGAAGGCTTTTTTATGTGAAGTGATACACAATGGCAGCGACATGGACTCAAATATAGTTGTGATTAGGAGGATGGAATATGATGGGACCGTCCTTCATTCTAAGTAGGGCTGCTTTGCCTCAGAGCCAATTCAGTAACCAACAATAAGAATAAGAAATATTGAGATGTCCTGGTGCACCGAACAGGACTTTGGTGAGGTGGGGACAAAGTGGGAAGAGGAGTTTATGTCCTCATTCTTATTATATGATGTTTTCTCTTTCCAAACTCAGGTGACTGTGACAGATGGTGGCACCTCTCCCAAACAGTCAACAATTTGGGTGGTGGTTCAGGTTCTGGATGAAAATGACAACAAACCCCAGTTTCCAGAGAAGGTCTACCAGATCAAGCTGCCAGAGCGAGATCGAAAGAAGAGGGGAGAACCCATTTACAGGGCTTTTGCTTTCGACAGAGATGAAGGCCCCAATGCAGAAATCTCCTACAGCATCGTGGATGGGAATGACGATGGAAAGTTCTTTATTGACCCCAAAACTGGCATGGTTTCTTCCAGAAAGCAATTTACAGCGGGGAGTTATGACATCCTAACGGTAAGATATTCTGAACTTCAAAAGCAATCCTCGAGGGAGGAGCTGATTCCTTATCCATGTGTATCCATTTGAGAAATTAGTCTTTAGAATAAACATATATAGCCACAAATTAAACAGACATCTGGGGGACAAATATTGGTGAGAACTCTGAGCTGTTTCTGTGTGTAGTGTCAGAGTTTCTTTTGGTTGAATCCTGTCTACCAAATTGCCCGTCTACTGGGAATACTACATATTCAACCATGACCCCTGTGACCCTACATACATCCCGTTCAAAGCACAAGCATGAGTCAGCTGAAGGAACAACGGTGTGACATGTTCAATCCTCCTCTTAGCATGTCTTCAAAGAAAATCACTTTTCTTTCCAATGCAGATGACTTTTGTAATCATCAACAATGCAATAGGACATGAATTTAAGTGTCTGAATTATGAGACATAAATCTCAAGCTATGTTTAAAAAACCCACCCCAACCACCAAGTGAAAGGAAAAGAGCATTTCTCAAAGAAAACTAAAAATTACAACAAATATGATCAATGTCTCAAATAAAAACATAAATACTCTTACGTGAGATATCAGAGAGTTCCCCCTGTTGTAGCCACTTTAGACTCACAGTACGTTTGGCAGAGAGGTGAATGGCCATGCCTTCCCCGAGTTCCAATGGTAATCCACAAATAACTCCACACATTGTCCTCAAATTCCTCTACTATATACATTTGTTATTTGTTGTTGTTGTGTACTGTCAACTTGGAACTGGCCCATAGCTGACTGGCAGATTTTCAAAGGCAGTTAATCGCATGGGAGGAGATTGCCCATCCTTCTCCTTCTAGTTCTCAGTTATTTTAAAGGATAATCTGATTCACTTGATTATCTTGCTATTTTCATGGTCAGTGTTTTTACTTCTTTCTCTGTCCAGAAACGTATCCAAAACAGATAGCAGAGGAAAGAAAGTGGTTAAAAACCAAACATAATTGCAGTTTGTGCAATTAGAAGTTATTTTGGACTGCAGGCTGTTGTAGTTATTTCAGACTTGCACCTTGGAACCTAGAGGGCTAGATGGCCTGCCATGGACACAGTGAATACCCCACCGAAGTCTCATTAGGCTAGTGTAGCTTTCCCCCAGTTGATAAGAGTTTGTCTGCTAAGGGTCATAGCTGTCCCTTTTCCCAAAAGGGAAAAAAAATGAGAAATTATTCGCTAAACAAAAGTTTGCCTAGGCCAAGTGTTTATAGTAACTATCCCTACACCTGCATGCGCACACGCGCGCGCACGCACACACCCGTCTGAAGCAGCTCACAGCCTGTGATTAACTCAGGGATACTAAACAGCCAACCTCATCGTCTCATTAGTTTTAGTTCAGTTACTAGTCAGAGCTCCCTGTGAGGCCAGACTGGGATCAGACTTCATTTGAGACCCTGGTCTTGTTTCGTTCCTTCTGCTGTAGCCTGCTTTCTTCACAGCCTCTCTGTCAGTGGACCCACTCAAAATATATTATCTACTCAAATTCCCATCTAAGACTCTGCTCTACAAGAGTCTAACTTAGACGAGCTTTAAAGGTGGGGTACTCCATCCAAACAAGGATGAGGGTTGCAGCCAAAGTGATCATCCATGGACACTTGATAGCACAAAGCCATTCATTGTTACTGAATTTAAAGGCTATACCTACTAGTTGTGTGCATATAAATGTTATTGTTAAAACATGATCTTTGAAAATTGCTTTTGTAAAATTATTATTTAGTTGATTTCTGTCAGCATTTTCTTTTTCGTAAACTTCATCATCCATTTGAGTCCAAGACACCATAGCAATTCACCCTGCCCAGCTCGGGGCTGCCCTTTGACCACAGAGAAGAACAATTGTTAGCACCATCCTCCAGAAACTTATGGCTCCACCAAGAGAGTTCACTTAAGCTCCTTCAGAGTTGGCACAACTGAGGGCTCTCTAAAGTTGTTAGAGCAGCCCCATCCTCCCTTTCCCCTGCCTACACGTGACGCATCAGTATAGTGTTCTTCTAGAATGAAGCAGAGGAAGAAGCTGCTAAATTTAAGCTTACATATACATAGAGACAAAATGCATGCATACAGCCACATTTCTACAAATTGCTCAAGTATCCTTTCACAATGCACTTTATTCCCTTTCCCACCATCACCACTAGGGAGCTCTGGTGGCCTAGTGGAAAGGAGCTGCACTTCAATCCTGAAGCCATGAGTTCAAATCCACCATCTGCTCCACAGGAGAAAGATAGGCAGTTTCTTTCTATGCGATTAAAAGACCTCTGAAAATCTTCCAAAGTGTCAGCTATGAGTTGGTTCTGACTCAACAATACAGAAAAACATCATTACCTACAGAAGGTCCCAGTTCACAGTCTAGTTAGACATCCATGCACATATATCTATAACTGCACTCACAAAGCACTCAGCTCGTAGGTGTGGTGTTTGCTTTCCAGCCTTTCATACCGGCTCACTTTCTGGTGAAGGTGTTGTGGACCTTCCCAAGGCTAAAGTGCTGCTCCCCTATTCAGGACCACATTCACACCAAATCTCCACTCTTTCTCCCTCTGACACTATGAGTATGAGGATGGACCCTTGCCTCACTACTATATGCAGAGCCAGATCCAAACTGCAACAGACGTCAGAGCTCTAAGACATAAAGCTGTTCTTCTGTGTTCTCTCCATGTGTGAGTAGATAAAGGCGGTGGACAACGGGCGCCCACAGAAGTCCTCCACGGCCCGCCTCCACATTGAATGGATTAAGAAACCACCCCCTTCGCCTATACCGCTGAGCTTCGATGAACCGTTTTATAACTTCACAGTCATGGAAAGCGATAGAGTAACAGAGATTGTAGGGGTGGTATCTGTACAACCAGCTAACACCCCTCTGTGGTTTGACATAGTTGGTAAGTTTGAGTCCTCCAGAGCAATAGTGGGCAATGTCATAATTTGCTCTTCGGAGCAACTAGCAAGAACACTAAGGATTAGTGCTAAGATTAAAAGATTTCTAGTGCTGGAATGCAAAATAAGAGCCAGTAAAATGAATAATCGACCTGTGCTTTCGTTCTGACTCTGTAGCTAAGCTGAACAGAAAGTGCTCTCTGGCTGGATTTTCCATAGTATGTTATTTACTGCAATCTTAATGTCTTTCTGTGTGTCATTTAAATTCTATTGTCACACTTGGCTAATCTCATTTCTAAATGTATTGATGGTACTAGACTTGCTGTCTTTCATTTCTCTCTTTTTTCTTCACCTTTTTTCTGCATTCTGTTCTTTTTTTTTATTCTGCTCCCGACTGCCCTGCTTCAAGGTGGCAAGCATGCTCGAGAGATGTTCTATATTCTACAGACAGCTTGTGGGCAGAACTGTTCAACAGAAGGTACCCTTAGTGCAAACACATTTGCTAAAATACAACTATCCAATCTGCCTTTTACGGTTGTTGTGTCTTTTTTTTAAAGCAAATTAAATTACATCTTTCATAACTGCCTGTGACAGGCTGAAGTGCCGCCCACAGATTTCATACATGCCTCTAACAGCTATTGCATTACTCGTATCCGATGACTCCTTTGTTTGAGGTTTGATGGGATTTGGAGTTTTGGGGGTTTGTTTTTATTTTTTTTTTAACCTTTTTTCCTTTGCATTTGAGATATGTGGGCTTTTCACAGTTTTATATATATAAATAATTTTTTTGATCCCTTTGTAGGATGGGTCCTTTAAGTGGGCCTTTTCCACTTGAAAATAGATGGAAATGTATTTTGATCCCCAACCTACCCCTGTTTTGCAGCATTAGTGCATTCATGTATACCAGAGCTCCACCAGGAGAGTCCCCTGGCTTCTGGCCACAGAGGAAGGGCAGGAAATGGAACCGAGATATATTGCCAGTGAGCTTCCCTTATGAGCTGATAGGGAAAGCAGATGTAAGCAGACAGGATAGGTCCTGTGAGCCAACCTTCAAATTCCTTGAAAGCGAGCAAACCAGCCTGGCTGGCTGGAAAAGGAGGGCTTGAAGAGCTCGGCTGCCCTCGACAAGCGGGCAGAGAGAGGCGGGGGAGAGGAAATGAGAAGGCCAGGAAACCAAGCGGGCCGTTGCTAAATGAGAGATGGGGAGCATGTGTGCCAGCCCGGATGTGACACGGAGCTGAGCCTGACTTCCCACGGCTCTCCACGGGAGGCAGGGACCCAGGAGAGGCCTGGTCTGGAGGAATCATTTCCTCCCACATATCACTGCCTTAACGGGATGCACAGGAACCTGCCTCTCGTCCCAGGAAAGGCAAGAGTCTGGGCAAAACATTAAGGATGTTCCACATCTGGTTTTAGGCGGCACAGCAAACGAATGACTCAATCCAGCCCCACTTAGGGGGCTTCAAACCGGTTCATTCAGGTTCAACTCTCAGCTGAGAACTTAACATTTCCACCCTAGATACACAGGATCAAAACCTACGTGGTAATAGGATTCCCAGGTGATTCTTATAGAGTCCCTGTTGATTCTCATAGGTACTTGAGTGATTTTAGGGATAGATAAGTCACCTGGGGATCTTATTAAAACAGTAGATTCTGATTTGCGTAAATCTGGGGTGGAAATGAAAACTCTAAGCAGGGTGTCAGTCACCCTTGAATAAACAGATTCCATAGAATCAATTCTGCTCCTTGGAGAGCTCTCTGAATTCCCAAAAGGAAAGGGATTGTTCGCTCATTTTTCATCTTCCAGAGTGTTGGTAAAATTTTACCTACCTTGCATTTATCATACAGTTTCTCCTGCGAAGCTTCAATTCCTTGTTCGAGGACACTTGACATGCTTAAATTAAAGTAAACCTAATTAAAGCTCTTCTGATTCATGGAAGTTGCCCCTGTTTATCTTCTCAGTGATTTCAGTTCATTAAGATATCATTAACTGCAGCTTCATCCTTCTTGGTGCAACAAAGTCATCATCTGGTTGTCCACTTCACCACCTGTGGCTGGTCTTTATACTATTCCCAAGTGAAGGCTGTGAAAGATGCTCTTAGTTTCAGTGTGTGTCCCTGGTTCTGGGCATCCAGGGACATGTGCTGTATTGATTTCTTTTAAATACCACAAGCAAGAGCACCGTGGAAATCTATTAGGCAACAGGGTGGCTGTCCTGCTGTCTGTGAGCCTGAGGAAAATTTGGCCCCTCTCCTCAGCCACTGGTTTATGTCCCCCTCACCTGGCCCTCCAGTTTGTGAACACCTCTGCCTACTGGCAGCACTGTTTCTGGCACTGGCACTGGGCATCCAGCTTCCCAACCCTACAGCACACCTCATCTCCCACCTCTTCCCCAGTCTGTTCACACTTACCCTCCACTTTAAAAACCCTCTAAGTTCTCAGTTCTCTGATGCTCAGGCCACCAGCCTCCTGCCTCCTATTATCTAGGACAATTTTGCAACTCTTTAGCATTCCTTCCTGCATCTTCATGATTATGTGTAGCAAGCATGCCTGAGAATGCTGCCTGGCACCTCACTTGCACAAGTTTCTTCATATCTCCATTCATAACCACTAAGGTCAAGACCCATTTCACCTCATCCCTTCCTCCTGTCAATGCCTCTATTCCCGTCTACCCAAGGCGAGTGACATAAGCATGCTGACTGATGGAAGTGCCACATACAGCCAGTTTGTTAACCCTGCTGGAATCTATCCAAAGTTCGGGTGGTATTCCAATGTATTCACAGTCATAACAGCCAGTGAGTGGGGACACCACTGTTCTAAGAAGATACAGGAACATTCCTTGGAAAGAGTCTTTTTGAGCTGATCCAAATAGAGATCCAGAAACTATTATCGAGAACATGGCATCTGCTTTCTCCTGTATCTTTGTTTTTCTAAATGTTACACTCTTCTTTTAGAATACTTCAGATTCAGTGCACCAAGTAGTTCTTTTCATGAAGACCTACAAGGCTGTCCCTGACCCTCTTTGCTTCCATTACATAGATTTCACTGTCAATCTTGTAAAATCTCTGAGCTCCTCATACAAACTGAACTTACTGGGCCAGATGCCCAAACCAAATGTGATTTTCTTTTCATCTCCTCCTCCAGCCAACAGCATCTTAGACTCTTGCTCTTTGTTTCACCACAGAAGCACATCTTTTCCCTCATGCTGGTTGAGTTTAGTATAATTATGGCTGCTCGTCTACCAGTCTTCCTATTGATAATCCTTTCTTCCTATTGAAAATCTTTTCATTCTTCTGGCAACATCCTTCCTTTTCTCTTAATACCTATTTTTGGGGCTTGGGAGTTTTAAAATCATATGAAGATGTTTTATTTTCTCTTTAAATATCTCTTACTTATCTATCCTTGGCCATTGAATTTCTCATATCTTCCTACCTACTTAACCAAGCACTTTCCCAGGCCAAGTTAACACATGAAAAGGAGAGGGAATAGCCTGTAGTTTAAGAAGATTATCCACAGACTGTATTTGAATGCTAAGAATAGATTTGGGCATATAATTTCAGCCTGGAACGAAAATGAGCTCTCACATTTGCTTATAAGTCTTGCCTTGGTAAATGCTCTAATGAATCTTCCAAGAGAGAAGATTCTGTTCTATTTTAGGCCTGCTACATCAGATGCCTACACTGAGTAGGTGTAGTGCCGAGACCGCGGCATCCTAGCCCAGTGCTTACCGCTTACACATGCTATATCTAATATGTTCTCATTAAGTAGGCAGAAATAGAATTTCAGCATGCTTTCCCCCTGAGAGTTTTGTCTTCTCATTTCCATATTTCCAAATCTACGAAATTCTAGTTTTAACTGTCATCTTTTCCTCCTCTAATGAAAGGAATACACAACTGCGTTATGAGCAAGTTTGTTCTCAAGTCTGGACACCTGCCCCAAGACACTTTCTTGGGCCTCCACTGAGACTACTACTTACCATACGTAGAGTCTCCTTAGCTTCCAGAAACAGAAGCCCTACTTGTAACCCAGTTAAGAAAGCTGTAATTAAAAGGAAACAGAATAAAGTTCAGCTGTTCCGTGTTTAGACAGCCCAGTGCACAGCATGTTCCTTCACCGTGTTAAGTGGGAAAGAAAATGAAGGGAACAAAAATAACCCAGAATCCTTTGTGGCTTCATCACATAGCTTCACACTTCTCAGGAGACCATAATTTCAACTCAGCAGCTCCTTGATTTACATACTTTCTAATGTATGAGCAATCTGGTTCACAGTTCAGTCTCTGTATCTTTATTCTGATAGCAAATATTTGTATTGTAAAGGCTACCATTCTATTACACACTTCAAATAATTCCTTTTTTACTCTCAGTTTGTCAGGGGAGGGTACTGCCACCCCCTTTTAACATTACCCTGACTTAGACAAGAAAGACAGCATTCCTTGTGGATAGAAAACGCTTAAAGCTTGTTTATTTGCTTCACAGAAAGACATAGAAGGAGAAAGGCTGTTCTTTGAAAATAATTCTCTGATGTTGAGTTCCAAGCACATAAATCCAACTCTACCTTGATACCTTTCCTCCTGTGTTGCCAATTCAGAAAGGCCACTTCCACCCTGAGTTTGATCCTCTGGCTTTGTGTTGCTCTGTTTCATAAAATCATGCTTGTCCTTCTTCTGCTTTGTCTGCAACACAACCTTCCCTTATTCAGGGCTGGTTTATAGCCTTGGACAGTAGCTCTGGTCAGAAATGAGCCAACAGTACTGAGTTTGTGAGGGAGTTTGTGTTTATTTCTTTCTTTGATAATGTTATTGTGGGTAGCCAGTGGGTCACCACCAATTCATGATGACTTTATATGTAACAGCCCAGAACATTTCGCAGTCCTCTGCCATCTTTATGATAATCTATTTGAGTTTATTATTGTAGCTACTGTATCGCTCTACCTCGTTGAGGGTTTCCCCCATTTTTGCTAATTCTCTGCTTTACCAACACTCATCTTCTCTTTTAGGGACTGATCTTTCTTGATGACGTGTCTCAAGTAATCAAGTCACATTCTCACCATCTTCACATCTAAGGAGCCTTCTGCTCGTATTTCTTCTTAGACTGACATGATCTTCTTGCAGCCCACAGTGTATTCAATATTTTCCATCAACTCGATGATTCACATTCAGCTGAATACTCATCACACCAGCAGTGACCGTGTTCTCTGACTCAAGTTTGGTATCTCTGGGTCTTTCCCACCAATATAGCCATATTTCTTTATCCCTGATGCTTTCCTGCACCTCTTGAGATCGCTCCATCCTTGTGCTATTTCTAAACAGCTACTCCTCCTCTATCAGAGAGATTCTTGCTCAAAAGTAATGTTAACTGATGCTGAGCACGTTATTTCTCTTACTTGGTATTGTCTCCGATTTGATCTCAAACATGCCTCACTTCTCTCTGTAGCAATGATACAGCCCAGAGGAGCATGCCTAAAGGACTTTTACGCACCTAATAAAATCTAAACAATTCATATATTGATCACTTTAAAAATTAATTTGAAGCTAAATTTAGAAGAGATTTTTCTCCTGACCTCTACCTCGTCTCACCTGCCTTTGATATAAATATTCTTCTAAGCCTCTTGGTGTGCTTGCTTCACTACAAGACAAAAATTTATTCATGATTGGAGGTGTAACTGGTGTTAACATTTTTCTGGTATACACCAAATGTGAATGAACGAACAGCTTGGTGTACGATTCCCTGAATTCATTGAAATCCCACAGCCCAGTGTTTTGGAAGCTTCTCCTGTAGCACTCCACCCCCCTCCCCTTGGTGATGACTAGATTTGATATTTTTAAAATTACACACTGGGTGGAATGGAATCATATGCTAGAGGCGGGTCCCAGGAGCCTGCCTACAGGAGGAGCAATGTGATTTTCACCCTCAGATCTTTTTAAGAGGAGTAGTGGTGCTTTCCCCCCTTTCTTTAAAGAAAAATTCAACAGCACCATATGCCCAGCACCCTGCTGCCTGGCACATTAAAGTTGCTTCTGGCTAAAAGGAATTTCATTCAAGTCCCCTTTTTAAAGTTTTTCAGGACATGCCTACTTGCTCTGCTTGACTTTAGAATCCCATAACGTCCAGAGTGCCTTTCTGCTCTTTGTTGACTCTCTTATCGCCCGTCCTGACCAGAAATGGTCAGAGAAGTGTCCCAGACGTGAATGATCTGTTATGTGGGCTGTTCACAACCTCGCTTTAACCATCTCTGCCACGCACCCCTGCAGCAACGCTCAGGCTGTGACTCTTCCAACCCCCCACTTTGTTGAGACTCAGGCCAGCTCGGCAGTATCCCCCCTCCTCCCCACCTTTTGTTCAGCCCAATGCTGCTGCACCGAACACACTTTGGCTTTGCATGTTCTATTACTGGCTCTGAGGAAGCACATTGGGTTTAAAGGGGATGCTGCTAGTTAGTGCACATGGACTCCATGGGGTTGATACCTTCACCCTCCCCAGATGAATTGAACCTGGTCTCCTCTGAATAAGAGAAATGAGAGCTGGGGGAGAGATATGGAGTCATCTATGAAACAGGATGCTTAAGTGATAGGTGATTACAGTGCCTGAGGGTTGATGGTAAACTGCTGGCTGACAGTCTACGTCCCTTGTCAGAAATGCATTTCAAAATGTAGTAAAGATTCTAGCAACTGCAGTGTCATGAACTCTTGGTTTAACTAGAAACAACCCAACTCATCGCCCTTGAGATGGAACACACAGCCAGTCAGCTGTGAGATTGTAAACCTTATGGGAGCTTGCCTTTCGTTGTCCACAAAGCCTCTACCAGAGAGGTGGGGCTTTGGGATTTTGGACTGTGGCCACAGAGCCCCCTAACTAGGACCAAGTACCCTGGAGAGGAGTAGCAGAGACAACTAACCAGGCAGTAGACAGATGTTATAAAGCTTCTCTTTCGTCTGTTTTTCTTTCTCTCTTCTCCACCCTTTTAGAAGAATCTAATCCAAACTACTTGAAGCATTAAAAGAACACAGAATACACACACAGAAAGGAGAATACACTTGCAGAATGTATAAGACTGTAAAAAATGACAACCATAAAAAGTAATCCTAAGTGATACATTCTTTGAAAAATGACCAGAAAGAAAGCATACAGCCTGTGTGCCATGTATTAAAAAAAAAAGAGTAAATTTTATGCCACCAAGTACATCAAATGATGTATATTTCTATCTAGGGCCTTGAAAGTAAGCAATGAGACTGACTGCTCCATTCAAACAATAACTTAAACTGGAAGTGTGTAGTCTGTAAATTTCACTTTCCTTAATATTTAAGTAATAGCAAACTAAAGTTGTATCATTTCTACTTGGTATGTACCAAGAAATATTCACATTCTAAAATAATTTTGGATATATGACTCCTTTCCTCCCTGCACCTCCAAAATCTACTTGGATATTTTTTTAAAAAATTAAACATCATATTTAAGAAACAGCCTAAAGGTCTTTCTAAATGTGTTTGAATTCCCATCAGAAGCAGCTAGAGAATTTTCGAGGTTCTCTTTCTTTCACACAAGACATGTGTATGTATCCTTCCTTTGAAGGGTTCTATGGCAGAGTGGGACTTGTTTTGCATATTGTACCACATAATCATATATGATTTTTCTTTGTTTATTAGAGTGGTTGTTTGAGACACTAGAAGTAGCCCTACATTTTATTCTCTGTGGTTATAAATGTAAACATTCACTTTGAAAGAGAAATGTTAAGTTAAGGGGGCTTCCTTTTTCAGCTGATATCTCCTCTCCTTTCTCTTTATTCTATCCTTTAAAAGACTTTTTGGAGTTAATATTTAGTGCTCCTTAGGAAATCAATTAGTGATTTTAATTGGAAGTTTCTTTTTAGATGAATTTTTTTAAAAAGCATATAATCTCCAAGCAGTTTTCAGGTATCCTCATATCTCTATAACTTTAATTAAATGTCAAGGACAATTATGTTCTCTTTAGCAATTAAATAATCTTAAGTGTATATGATAGCTGCAAAGCAATAAGTATTTGAAATAGATATTGCCAATTTTGTATTTTTGGAAGTAAATTATATTTTTTTAATCTTAAGTCACAATACATCAAATTCTAGTAATTCAGGTAAAAGTCTCCTTTCACTTAGCTCATCTGCCAATTTATATTTATAATATCATAGAAATATGTTGTTCATTGATCAGTAAAATGAAATACAGAATGTAAGAGAAGCCAAAGTTTCTTTTCCAAAATAAAATTCAATAAATACACTACCCCATGCATAGTTAAATGAAATTACTATTGAAGAGAAAAATCAATTGACACAATGAAATTTCAGACAAAAACAAATAGAGCTTGGAAATCATTCCATCATTTATGTCATTATATTCTCTATATCATTTTAAAAAAAAACAACCTTTGCATCTTTCACTCACTCTGGAACCAAAATTAGCCATGATGGAGAGAACCAACAATGACCTCAACAATGCCATACATGTGTCATTTGAATCGTATGACTATGATTTATACTTGGCCTGGGGGAGGTGAAGTGAAGTTTACTTAACTTTTTCATAAATTGTTTCATAAGCTATGTTGTATAAACCAATGTTTCCCACCCCCCAATTTTTTCCAGATTGGACTTTCTAAGTCTTTCATAAACATTCTCATTTTTAGCAAAATAATTATTCACACTATTTTCTAGCAGAAAAATAATCCACATATATGTGTATATTTCTACGAGTATTTTCATTTTCAAATATTGAAACTGTCTTATGAATATTTTGTCTTTTAAAATATTTGTAATTGCATTTCTGACGAAATTAAGGGATTCTGAACTCTACAAACCAATTGCTTACCATCAATCCTAGAACAGATTTGAGAATATCTGCTTATTTTTCTTAACATTGATTGAACTACTTGTTTACTTCTAATATAATCTACTTTGAAAAAGCGAAAGAATGTACAAACTTGTAGTATAGAAGTCACAGGGTTTGGAGGGCTTCAGCTTTGTAAATATTTTATGGAGTCAGTTTATGCTTCACTACTCTAACATTACTGCTGAGGTTTTTTATTGCAATACATTCCCCTTTTTGTAACATTTGTTATGCATTGTAGAGGCTGTGTTTTGAAATATGAATTAAGCTAGAAATAAAATGGCCCCATTTAAGAAGTACAAAATTGAGCTATACAGTTGCCTGTCAAAAAATTGTTCTGTATATGAGCTCCCTTTAAAGATACATATTTTTAGTGCAAGAACTAATGTCTAAGATTTGCTAATTTGATGTTGTTTTTGTGACATTATCAGGGGGGAATTTTGACAGCTCTTTTGACGCAGAGAAGGGTGTTGGGACAATTGTGATTGCAAAGCCTTTGGATGCAGAGCAGAGGTCCGTCTACAACATGAGCGTGGAAGTCACCGATGGGACAAATGTCGCTGTCACCCAGGTAAGCTGCAAATAGCTGCATAACAGCAGTGCTGAAAGGCTTGACAAAGTTAGAAGTGCAGGTGATTAAAAAATATGTTGACGTAGATTTTGTTCTGTATCCTTTCACTACATTTTTAAGAATTGTAAAATGTATGTTGTTTTTGTCAAGTGCTGTTGAGTTGAGTATGATGTGTAATGGCTCTATGAACAGCCAACCTAAACCCTTATCCTGTGCCATCTTCATCATCGCTAACACACCTGAACCCATTGCTGCTGTCACTGTGTTAGTCCATCTAGTTGTGGGTCTTTCTCTCATTCATTATTCTTCTACTTTACCAAGCATGATGTCACTTTCCAAGGAATGGCCTCTCCTAGAAACATGCCCAAAGTATGTGAGATGAAGCTTATCATCTTTGTTTCCAAGGAAGCTTATCATCTTTGTTTCCAAGGAGCACTCTGGCTTCTCCAAGACATACCTGTTTGGTTTTTTTGTAGCCCACGGGATATTCAGCACTCTTCTCCAACACCACAGCTCAAAGACACCAATTCTGCTCCTGTCATCCATATTCTTTGTACAGATTTCAGATACATAGCAAGTGATAGAAAAGACTATGAGTTGAATCAGGCTCACCTTAGTCTTTAGAATGACATCATTACTCTTCAGGACTTTGGCTAGGTCTTTGACAGCAGACAGTAAGATGTATACAAAGTAGTAAATTATGTCTATGAATATTTAATACTTTTTTAAAAAATAATCTAAAGGACACCTAGCACAAGAATTCTATCAGAACATTTTTTAAATCGTAGAAAATTGAAACAAAACATTGACTCAGTTCTAACTCACAGCAACCCTGTAGGACAGAGAAGAACTGTACCTTAGAGTTCCCAAGGCTGTGGATAGAGAAGATAGCCTCTTTCTCTGGAGGCACAACTAGTGGGTTCTAATCTTTCATTTTTTTAATCTACAATCTTACCACTCCACCACCAGAGCCCCTCACTTGCTATCATAAAACTAGACGAAGCCTGTTGCCAGTTACAATTCAGAGTAATTCATAGAGGTCAGTTACAACCTGTAGTGATTGCATGGTAATGATTAGAACTGCTCTACATCGTTTCTGAGACTAATCTTTATAGACGAGCTGGCTCCTGTATCGTTCTCCCTCCAATCAGCTGATACATTCAAATGCCAGCTGAAAGGTGGCAGAGGACTTTAGTCACTGTGCCACCAAGCATCTCCGTGAAAGTTACAACTAGAGAATACCTAAGGATTCAAAATCTTTTTATAAATCTAAATGAGCTAAATAATATACGCAAGAGCGCATATCTGATTAATAAAGAGCAAGGATTGTGATGCAGGTATCCTGACTCCCATTTCTCACTCCAGCGGGTCCGGTCCTTATCCTGGATCCTGGCTGTTCCTAGGGTGCTGGGGGAGAAGGTGGTTAAAAGTACTGAAGTCTGGGCTCCACTCTAAGACAAACAGTGTGATGCTAACAGGAAGCCACTCTTTATATCTTCTAGAAAAGTGCTTAAGAGAAGACATTGAGATCAAGAAGGAGGGGGCAAAGTCTTGGATTTTCATATTATCTTCCTAAGTGAGACCCAAAACATTAAATATCACCGTAGGGCAGGAAAGAAACATGTTGGCCATTTATGGCAGAGGCGAGGCACACACATATCTTTTGTCACTCTGTCCTCCTCTTCAGATCTCCCTCCCCAGGACCCAAGAAGGCACCTACCATGGTCCTTTCTCCTGCTGAGCTCTTGATTGACCTCAGAGCTGTTCTCAGCACAGAGCTTCAGGTCATAAACAGGAGCTTTTCACTGACTGTAAACCAAGCAAGTCTGATTCATGTAAAATCTAGCACAAGCTTTGTGACTATTTAGCTAATCCAGCCATCTGTCAGCCTGTGGTGTCTTGAGGAGAAGAGGGGAGCAGAACTTTCCAGATTGCACCAACTGACACTTTCAGAGAGAGTGGCATCAGAAGGACTGCCTATACAATTTTTGTATATTTTCAGTTGTAACAACAACAACAACAACATTTTACATGTAATGTACCAACAAGGCTAACACACTATACTGGTTTACTTTTTGTACCTTCCAGTGCTCTCTGGCAAGAGCTATCCTTGTTACCCAGTTACAGTGATATTTCAAATCACTGTTTTTTGTCTGTACTATACAAACACTTGCTGTCATTTTCATTGATTATTTTGGGCATGTTGCAAGGAGGGACTGGTCCTTGGAGAGGGACATCATGTTTGGCAGAGTGGGGGGGCGGCGAAGGAGAGGAAGCACTTTGATGAGATGGATCAATTCTGTGACTAGAGAGGTAGGAATAAGTGCATTTGAGATGGCTAGGTTGGCACAGGATAGAAGAGCGTATAGAGCTCTTGTACATAGGGTCGCTATGAGTCACAAGCAACTCGATGGCACATAACAACAACAACAATTGCTGAGTTTTGTTAAATTTCCAAGTGTCTTTGCTACAGTATCATGTAATCACTATTTATGTCAATAAATGTTTTTGAGACTAAAGTAGTAATTGAAAGAAAAAGAGAAAGCAGTTTTTAAAACTTTCCCTGATAATGTAATTAATAGTGTTATTCAATCTAGAATAATTTTATACAACAATTTGTTGTTAGTTTTTATATAATCGAGGGAGTTCTGGTAGCTTAGTGTAGAGAGACTTTGGCTATAAACCCAAAGGTATATGGTTCCAATCCACCTGATACTCTGAGAGAGAATTATGGGTAATCTCACTGCAGTTCATTTACATGTTCTAAAAACCTGCTAGAGGACCAACTATGAGTTGGTTCCAACTTGATGCTGATGAGCTTGTGGTGATTTATGTAACCGGAGAACTATTATATTAAAACATTCACAAATGCATTTCTTATGCATTACTATAAGACATGACTGAAAGATAAAAACCACTACTAAGGACCGTGTGATCTTGTACAGAGGAAGTTCAATGAGGAGAGGTGAGAACAGGAATTACTGCACTAGATGGTACCAACCACGGTTACATCGCTGTCTGGCTGTCTGGCTGTCTCATGGGTCACTGTTAAGCTGAAAACTCTTCCATCAGTGTTCCAAATATGAACAGGGTTGCTCAACCTGGACACATTTCAGTGGAGTTTCTGAACTGTAGCAAGAAAGAAAATCCTGGTGGTCTACTTCCAAAGCTTAGCTGGTAAAAACCTTATGAATCCAAACAGGGCAGTATCTTGCTCACCTGCTCTGGTCAAGCCATCAAGAGGAGTTATCAACCTCTAAAAGAAAGATGTCTGATCATATAGAGGCCAGCAAGGGCCAGGGAACTCCACAACAAGAGGGCTCAGCATGAAAGCAGAAGCATGGGCTCAAACATGCTGAAAACTATAAAATCATGCATTTTTAAAAAGCCCAAAAACATTAGAATGAACCAGCGTTAGACAATGTTTGTTCTTTTGTAAATAAGATCACCATGAATCAAAGTCAACTTGGTGACAAGTGTCTATCTATTGAACTACTTAGTTTTGAAAATGAAAAGAAAGAGGATTCTTCCATGTGTTTGTCTATGCAGCTGCCTCTTCATTGGAAGCTGTTCCAGAAATAGGAGAGTCTTTGCTTAGAGTCTAGAATCATAAAGCATAGACTTTGCAGGAAATAGGCTTCCCTCTTGCACAACGATTTCATGTTTCATCTGAGTAGGCTGGAGCCCAGAAGGGGAATGATGTGCACACACTGAGACTGTCAGTGTGTGATAGTTCCTCACCTGCCAGCCAGGGTCCTTCCCCGTCCACCCCCCGGGGACTGGGTGACCATACAGCTCTGCCCGCTGCACTGGCGTAATTGTTAATAATACCCATTCATCTCCAGATGAGCTGATGTTGGGGCAATAGACTCTGCTGAAACTATAAATGTTTTATGGAATTTTCAAGATGAAAATATAGACACATGATTGAAAGTCTGTGGGAACCACACAGTTGAAAAGCATGCTCTGAAGACAAACACAAAATACCCACCTGCAGTATTGCTATGTATTTAACACAAAATCACTATAAATAGGGGTTTTTAATTAACCATGCTTAGTATATCCAACCATTCCATTTTAGCACCACTTAAAAACACAAGACGTACTTGAGTAAAATATAAATAAATCATAGGATCGTATTTGTTCCCACCATTTTCTCGTGGGCTTTATAGCAGTTTAATTAAATGGTAATTTGGTGTGCTCAGAATGTTATAGATACTTCTTAAATATTTTTAGAATAAATAAAGAGTAGGTCATACATATTCAACAGGTTCTCTGTTGGAGTTCAACAGAGATAGGTAACACTCTATCTTGAAAGCACATGGCTGTTTCTTGTTAAGAAAAATAATTATCAATGAAACTTTCAGAACTTCACTAGGCCAGGTGAGAAGTCAGCTCAACAGTACTGATTCTACAAATATTTCTCAAGTTCATTTCATGTGCTAGGGGGGAGTGTGAAGTTTGGACATTTTAGGGTTTTAGATTCAAGTGACCAAAATGTACCTACTCTTTTGTTGCTAATAAAGGAGCGTGCATCATGAGATTTTAAATGTAACTATAGTAAGAGTTCCATTTTGTTGATTATATTTCAGGAAAATATGCAGCTAGTCTTATCTCCAGAATAATTTGGAAGAAGTTGGAAAGTCTGATAAGTTTGGAAATTCCTTTTGGCAAAGCAGATGTAAAACAAAAACCAAAAGCCATTGCTGTCAAATAAATTCTGACTCACTGGGTCGCTCCGCTGGGTCTCCAACAAGTGCTTCTTAAGACCAATTAAAAACAACCAGCACCTTCAGATTTATTTTAATCCATAACAACCCCCCTCTTCCAGGTTTCTGAGGCTGTGAATCTTTACAGGATACTGCCCATCACCGTCCCACAAAAAGCCTGGTAGATTTGAACCACCAACCTTTTGGTGAGCATTATGTTGCTACTGCTCCTTCTAAGAAGACAAATACAAACTATCAGACTATCTTCCCAAAAACATTTAGTCATTTTGT